TATCCTTAATATTTAATAACGTACGTGTGAGAATGGTGTTATTTCCCAGGTTAAGGAAGCTGATATATCCTTCATATTTTAAGTTCAGTATATCCTCTGTAGATCAGGGTTTTGCCCCAACGCTGAAAGGAAAAGTCAGCGTTTTTGAAACAGTTTTCCTGAGTGTGGCTTGAATAATTCAAGCAGAAAGCTGTCCGGATAAACTGAGCAGATAACGCAGAGAGAAAAAATAGAGACAGGAGTTGCACTTCCCACTGCACTGTGACAGATACTCTGGGATTAGAGAAACATTCTTCCCTAAATTCAGAAATCTAATCCCAGAGTTCCCACACCTGCCAGAATCACAACGGGTGCCAATCCTACTGGGAGAGGGAGGAGGGAACTCAGTTGAACTGGCAGCCCAGTATGTGATCTCCTGTCCCAGCCTGAGGAACAGTGAGTCTGTCTCCCAAAAATGCTCCATTTGTCTACAGTATATGTAACTATTTTATGACATGTCTTTGTTGTAAATGTCTGTAATATGTGTGTAGATTTTATTTTACTTTTATTTTTTGTTTTGTTTCGTGTTAATCGTATTATTTTTATTTGCTTTGGCGACACTGCTTGTGCCCATCGGTCATACTAACGCACCTTGAATTGAATTGAGAAAAAAAACATCTAATAGAAAAACTGTGCCTTTAAATTTCCGACAGCCCCTGCTCTTGTGGGTGAGAGGTCACAGGCGAGCACGTCCATCTGTGTGCCGGCCTGAGGGGCTGCATTACACTGGCCGCGGGTCTCCAGCCCGATGACTTGCATCGCAGTGGGGGACAGGCCTTTCTGCCAGCAGTGAAAATAAAGGGCGATCCCCACAGGAAATGTCAAGCTGATATCCCCCGCCATGCCTGCCTTCGCCCTCGTCCACATCATGACGTTCAGCTTCTGTGTGAATAGGGAGAGTTGCGCTGGCAGCCGAGAGGTAACACCCAGGCTGCAGCGCTGGCAGGATGCTCAAGATCTCACAGTAAACACAACTTGCTTTTCTCACACTTCACCGTTGTGAAACGTACCGTCGGGGAGTTCGATCTTGCGGAACGGGCGCGCCTGCGAGTCGTGGGTTTCGGCTCGTTGTGTTCATGCGCGCTTGGTGGTGAGAGGCTCGCCAAAGCAAAAAATCACCACAGGGGCTGTTGGAAATAAAGTGGCTGAAATTTCCTTTTAGCGGTGTAATGACTGGATCTCCTGTGCGTGTAGTCGTGTGAGCTGTGCTGTGGTCGGCTGGGGTTTCAGTGTTTTGAAGTCTTCTATGCTGACTAATTGCACTAAGGAAGATAAATGAGCTGGTGACAGACAGTATGGGATGTAGATGAGATATTGATGTGTGAAAATTTACAGCGTGTCCTGAGCGCTATTCAGAGAGCATGTGTTGTATATAAATGTTTTTTTCTATAACTACATTGGATTTGTTTCTTTTTACCATTTTGTGAGGTGATCTACTGTACGTGTTCCATGTGGGACATGCTGGTACAGTACATTGTAACGGTCATCTGACCAAGGCCTTAGTTCAGTGTCTGTGACTATACAGTATATGACTGTGTAAAGGCAGAGCTTGTCTGTGTGGTTGTTAGCATCTGAAGGACTGTAAATTCTGCACAACTGAGCTTGTCAGGTCAGTGAATCTAAAGAAAAGGTAACTCCTTTCCACTGTCTGTAGTGAAATGGCATGTGTTTGTGGTTCCTCAGTTAAAGAAACGTAAATTGAACAATGGTAACAAAAAAAACTATAGTAACATACCTTCCTAGATCTTTCTTCCTTTCAATCTTGGTCAGATATAGGAGTTTAATTGGAATAATTGACATCCCACTTGTGCAGAACCTTGATAATTTTCTCTCTATTAGCCAGCATAGGAATGAAAGCACAGGAAATTAATATTTCCTTTCTGTGATCATTGTGGGCTTTGTAGAACAGTCACTTTTCTGTGTGAGACATCTCGCTTGAAATCCCAGATGTATCTTGCTGTTTCTGATAACATTGCTAAGTGACAAAGTTTTCTGCAGTGCTGAAACTTTGAAGCTACAGCAGACATGTGATATAGTATTCTCTCTAGCTACAGCCTTCAGAGTTAATATTTTAGCATACAAGAAGAATATGTTTTTGTGATATTCCGTACGGAATATGACCAAAACGTAGTGATCAGCTGATCTAACCGGAGGCATGATAAGAAGCAAAGATTGTTTTTTTGGTTCAGACTCTGCAGCGCTTGTTGTTTTAGAACTCAGTTCTGTCTCCAGAAGCCTCTGTGAAATTAAATAGCATAACTATTAGCACGGTTCAGCTCTTTGTGGAATAAGAAGAATCTTGCTCAACACCTATGTAACACTTTTTTGTCAGCATACTGTATAACCAAGCAGAAATGCGCTGTGAAAAGTCTCACCTGTTTCCATCTGGCTCTTTGTCCTTCTCTTCTTCAGTACTTAGGTTCTATGCTGGTCAAAGAATTGAGAGGAACAGAGTCCACGCAGGATGCTTGCGCTAAAATGAGGGTAAGAGTCAGACTCCCGGTCTCTTGTTTGTGAAGCTAGGTCTGCTTCTTTCTGCTCTGCTGAAGATTCTTCTTCGGCGTCTGTTTATACAGTATACAGTACTAGGACAAGGCTGCAATACACTGAGCCACGTTAATTTGGTGTAAAGGTGGGTTAATGAGAAAAAATCAGCTTATATTTGAAGTGATTCATTGTGAATGTGTAAATAAAAGTTGCAGAAAGATATGTTTCTAGAGCAATTGTGGCCTGTCATGGATGTAAATAAAACATTAAAATATTTTCCTGGTACAGATTTTAATAAAGCTGAGATATCTAGGAATATATTTAATCCAAGACCCTTCTGTTTACTGTATTTATATTTCTTGTTTGTGTAATCAGCATCAAGGAGCTTCACTCTTGCCGAATGGGTTATGTTGAATGTTTAATTCATGTGTGGAAAGTCTAACATCTCTGTTTAAATTTGAATTTAAAATATGTTCCGTTTTCTCACATTTTCTATGCCTGTCAGAGATTGTGGTGCTGTTGTCGGCTTTGTAGCACCAGTTGAAACTTGAGGTAGAGTCTGACAGGCATCTTGGACAGTAAAAAATGCTAAAGCAAGCAAAAGTGTCTGCAACAACAGCAGAAATATTGGAAACGTGCTTTGCATTCAGTGAAGTTACTAGAGGCTTACTCTGGAAAATAAAAAAAATCTACTGTCGTGACTTTGGCCCCTGGTGATGTGTCTATACCATCCCTGGCCTGGACAGTCACTGTCCAGGAGGTCTAAAAGGTCATTCTTACACCACCGTTCTGTGAAGACTTTGAAAACACGGGAGTGTTGATCAACTTAGTCAGCGAACTAACTGAATTAAGTAAAAAGTGGCGACCTGTGGCCAGTGGGAGGTACAGTACCGGGTATTGTGGGTTTTCATTGCAAATGATCTCTAGACTGCTTCAATGAGCAAATCACCTGCTTCAGTGCTTAACGTAAGCTTGTTCCAGGGTTTTGAAATTGATCATTTAAAGGGGGTATGTGAAACTGGCTTGTGGCCCTGCAGGTATTACCACCCCTGTACTACAAAATACAACCTCCCTGCCCCCAACCAGTTTGATACAGTGATGTATTCAGAAGGACAGGTCATTTAAAGATCCATGCTCTTTGCAGTAGAACACTATGGGTTTTGCAGAAAGTAAGATGTGATAATGGGGAGGACCATAGTGTTGTGAAAAGTTGTTAACCTGTTTATCATACAGTATGTGGCGGGAGATAAGAAACTGGCCTAACAATGTTAGGTTATCAGTGGATGTGTTCATAACTGTTATTATCATTGTGGGGCGATGCGTTTTCTGTCCATTATTTTTTTTCACATGCAACCAATAGATACATGGATTCAAGCAGAGATAAAAGCACCTTGGACAGGTTTTTAGCTGCAGGTGGCAGTTTTTGTTGATGGAAATACAGGTACCTTGTCGTAAAATAAACCAAAATGCCCTGTGATTGTATTGCACTTGATGATCGTTTGTTCATTGTTTTCTGATCTAATTTTCCCTGTTCTGCTTTCCAAGAAGTCTACGGAACACATGAAGAAAGTTCCCACCATAGTGCTTTCGGTTTCATACAAAGGAGTCAAGTTCATTGATGCCTCAAACAAGGCAAGTCCCACTCATGGCTCGTCCAGGGCAGTGAATGTACTAGCACCCACCCCTGCTTTCAGCACTTCTCAATCCACTGTGGCTGCAATGGCCGTGTGTCTCAAGCACCAGTCGGAATGCCAGTTTGTTCACGTTGTGGATATTGATCGTGACATAATGTCGTTCCAGATTCCATTCCATTCCATTGATGTGTTCAGATCATACAGTTGAGGCTGTAATTCGATAGTGGGGATGAAGGACGCTGGTAAAATGTCATAGCTGTGTGGTTTGCAGAACAATCTCTGTAGGAACATTCCGTAAATGAAAGTCAGTAAGAGATTGATGTGTAAGAAGAATCATGTTAATGCCCCCATACCATCAGTACTGTACCTCTGTGACAGCAAACCACAGCAGCAGAAACTTGCAAAACCCACACAAGGGTTTTATATCAGTCCAGCCAGAATTGCATTGATGCTCTCCATTCTGGGTTCCTTTCTTGCCTTTCCTGGAGCATGTTAAAGTCCCAATCCAGCAGAGGGAAGAGAATAAATTAGAAAACCATACTTTGTGCAGAAGCCTGAAAAGCAGAATTTTGCTCCATGCTTGAGTGCAGGCACAGAATGTGAGATTTTAAAGCGGAGTAGTCACAAACAAAGCAAAAAGGAGAATCTTTAGTTTGGAGATAAGGGTTGCGTTCGTGCTGCAGAGGCTTCTGGATTCTTCTCTTGAAGCATCACACCTGACGCCGCGCTCTGATCTCATCCCCCGCGTGTCCCTTGCTGTTAGCAGAACATAATCGCCGAGCACGAAATCCGCAACATTTCCTGTGCCGCTCAGGACCCTGAGGACCTCTCCACATTCGCCTACATCACGAAAGACTTGAAGTCCAGCCACCACTACTGCCACGTGTTCACTGCCTTCGATGTGGTGAGCGTCCGGCGTCCGCCGACCTCGCTGTGCTGCTGGGGGCCCGGGCCCCTCCCCCGCGGATTCCTGCGGAGCACCGTGGGGCTGTGTCACAAAAGCTTATGCAACTGAATGCACATTAAAGAATGAATCAAATGAATAAGGATGGACATAGCATAGCCTCTGCAGATGCTGCTTAATGGCACACCTTATAAAATCTCAATACCATAGTTCCAGGAATATTTGATCCAAAGTTTTTAGTTGAGCAAATGCACCATATCAGACCGAAACTATATTCATACAGAGTCTTTCTTTATATATAGACTTCTGCCCTTTTCTGTTGTCTTTAGCATTCTGCAGTCAGGTTATCATTATGTGTTTTAGCCCATTGCATTAAATTATAATATGTTTAAAATCAAATTAGTTAGCTATTGAAGTTAGTTGTCAAAACCTGACTTTATATATCTTTCAAATGCATTTTTTGTATTCGGCATTTAGCATTCTAAGATCCTTTGTCTTCTTGCTTTCTGAAGTATATTAATCCTCAGAAATAAAAATTACAGAGCGTGAATAAAGTATCTTATTTTAGACTTATCAAAAAAATTAAATCACCATCTCTAGGATTTAATTCTATTGTATTATTATAATTCTAAGGTTCTGAAATCAGTTAGTGTCTGTGTAAAGCATGTATTTATTTAATATTTATACACATAGTGTACTGGGAATCAGTCTCATAAACATATTATGATTGGTATTTTTTATGAGAAATTTGAATTAAATGCTAGAATGTTATTGATATATTTTAACTGACCACGATTACCTTAAAGAATCACTTTTAGAAATGGCAATTTGTCCCTTAAAATGTGTTGCATTGCAAAGTTTTTAAGTAAAGGAAAGATCTTTATGCCAATTAGTTCATAAAAGATGATCAGTTTGTTTTCGCAGAGCGGATAGATGTTTTCTTTCTTTAAATGGGTTTTAGTGTCTGTGATTAAAGAGATGCTCTGAGAGTTCAAGCACGTTCGGTGCACTGTAATGAACAGCTGCAGTCTTCAGGGACCTTCTCCGCACGGATAATGTGCATGGAATTTTTTCATCCTTCTTCCCAGTTTTAATTCTAGGCAAGAATTTCTAATTAGAATGTGAAAGACTGGTAATCGAAAATGTGCGTGTATAAGGTTACCGTGAAACTGGTCTTTGCTAGTCTCTGCAAGTGTTTCTTCAGTTTAGAGTCCAAGTCTGTGTGGCTAACACATCAGTATTATTAGGGTGCTGGTCTGGTTCCATATATGAATCTTAAGGGCTCATATCTACTTGCTTTATTTGGTTATTCTTAGTTTCCTCAGTACCAAGGCAATATCCGTAGCAGGTAAATGGCATGCCGTGATTCCTCACTGACAAACGGGAGCCCTGAATTCTCCCTGTCCTGGGGCAGACTGCTCCTGCATTGATCTCAGCAGCTCCCCCAGACTTAACGTGTCTTTTGTCTTTTTTTGTTTTCCCCTGTGCAGAATCTGGCCTATGAAATTATTCTGACACTCGGGCAGGCGTTTGAGGTCGCATATCAGTTGGCCCTTCAGGCCCGAAAGAGTGGGCATGGCTCGTCCACACTGCCGGAGAGTTTCGAGAACAAGCCCACCAAGCCCATCCCAAAGCCACGAGTGAACATTCGGAAGTCTGTGGTGAGTAACAAGCATCTGTCTGATCATCGCCCCGGTGACACAGTCTCTCTTTCTGTGGGAAAAAACACCAGAGCTCAAGTCACAGGCAGTATTCTGGGTTTTCCTACATAATTAACTGTAATCAATGTCCAGATTTCCGCATGTTAGGTTTGTTCTGAAGGCAGTTAGAACAATCAGTTGGCCTAACAATAAAAGCATGTTTTAAGATCCAGTGTCTGCTGACATTATTTGGCCACTCTTAGTTTCCTCAATAAAAAGGCAATATCCTCCAACAGATACACGAGAGATTGGGTACGTCCCTTCCTGACCAACAGCAGATAACAGGTAACACTCCCATTGCACAGCAGAGAGAACAGCACCAAGTAAACAGTATCTCAAGACTCTTGCCTTATTTCATGTAAACTTATAAGTTGAGGTTAAGATATGAACTCGAACAGTTTCCCGACATGTTTCATGGGTGCAGTTTCTGCAGGAGCCCTTGAAACCTAAGTCAGGAGTCTTATATGTTACCCTGATCGAAGAGCTGCCCACCTGCATAAACTTTAATGTGTCTTTGTCCATCGCTGGTGTTCGGTGTGACACGCAGCTGTCGGTAACTCTGTGGAGGAATCTCAGGACCTCGTGGTGAGGTCTTCATCCTCACCTGTGGTCCTCAGATGTACCAGGAACAGTAACTCGCTATTGCACTGGTTTTTCACAGGAAACATCTTTCCTTTCCTGTTTTCCCCTCTTGTTGTGTTTCATTTTCACTCACGCCCCCCGTGTCACGTGTCCATCTGTCTGTGCTCGTGTGGCTGTGCTCCGTGTGCTGTGGAAGCACACAAGCGGTGTGCGGCCTGGCACGCTGACCTCTCAGTAATGTGGCTTTCGGGACGTGAGGGCCTTCTTGCACCAGTGCAGAACCACAGTTATTAGATTTGTCAGCTAACAGGAAGGTCACCTTTAGCGATTTCAAACGGAATCTCTGTTGTGGATCCAGGCCGTTTTTGCCCCAGTCTGCAGTAGCAGAGTAACGTGCAAAATGACTTTCAGTAATAATACTGTTTCTTCGCGCCTTTCAAGTTTTTCTCACCAGAGCTCTTTAACCTCCTACATCTGGTATCTTAAGCACTTAGGATGCGTGCGTTTCTGATCATCCGGGTGTCGGAGTGGGATCTCTTTCTTGGCCGGGCTCCAGTGCATACGCCCTCCTCGTTTTTCTGTTCCTTGTCTTCCGCGACTCCCTGACCCCCTGCCTTTTCATGGTTTTCTGTTCCTTCCCATTCTTCTGTCTCATTCCTGGAAAACGAAACACGTTATCGAACATTCAGGAGTGGGTGTGCCTTCCTTAAAATGGTGCACTCAGTCTTGCTCTCCCACCAGTCGTGCGAGAGAGGGATGATTAATGGTGGCGGGTTTTTTTGCTAGAGAACTGTCTGTTCTGGCCTCCTTCACGAACCCCTGCTAGCTATTAATAGATCCCGTCTGTGGGAGGAGGGAAATGGCTGCTTTTCCCAGGATGCATGCGATGTGTCAGCCTTGTCTTAAGTGGCTTCTACAAGGGAGAGCGGTATTTTCTAATCACTGCATGTTACACAAGAAACCCCCTCTTTGACACCAGCGGTCTCTCCCGAGGTGGACTGCCAATTGACACCTCTTGTCACGTTAAAATAAAACTCTTTCTAACCTTGCAGTGGCAAGCACAGATGATGTGTTTAACATTTTCTCTCCTGTTGCTCAGTGATGAGAACCGCTCTTTTCAAGTCAAACCCTCCCCTGAGGGTTGCATTTCACCCTCACCCTGTTTTAACATTGCTTGAATTTTCTGCTCAGCTATTTCAAGAACTGGTTAGCATGCATGCAAGTCAGAGAATCTCTGAGAAGTCAGAGATTTTAGCATGATTGCTAATTTTGGTTGACAGAAGCAAACTAAAGGGTTATAAAGCATGTGCTGTGTAAGTGCTGATTGGCTAGCTAACAGGATATTAAGTGAAGGTGATTTTCTCTGCAGCAAATAGAGATATGCTAGTTTAATGGCTGCAGCAGTGTAGATCTGAGTGCCCAACACCTTCTTCTGAAGGAGATGGTTGTTGCCCTGGATCAGCATTCAGGAGGCCAAGCCTGTTAATGAGGAAGAGGTTCATCTGCATTGGTGGCTAAACTATACGTTGCATGTTACATTCAGTTTATTAAAAGCAAGAAAATGTTTCTTGGAGACAAATTCCTTTTGAGAGCACATGACTGAAAATAACCCCAGACTAATGAAGTGGAATTCAGACGGCTGCCCTGCAGGAAATGTCGTCATCATTTCTCTAATACAGCAGCCTGTAGTAGATGTTAGTGTTGCGATTCTTGAGGGTTTTCTGTGCTACACTTCATAGATTTGATTGAGTTCCTACTTCCGCGCATTCAGCAGAGTTTTGCTGGATCTCAGACAGGTTTGCACCCTGTTACGGGTCCCATGCCTGGCCCTCCGTCTGCAGGGGCCGACTAAAGCACGTTTTTGTTTTGATTTGTGATCTTTGAATTATTCTAATCTCTTTCCCGCTGGGAAATCTGCCACAGCTTGGCAGAAAAGGAGAAAAGCATTAATTGAACTTTACAAAGCTATTTCATAGGTCCATTGATTTTAAAAAAGGTTCATAAAAACTATTTATGCTTTATGTGTGTTAATAGTGCAGTGTTGTATATTGCAGTTTTGTAATCTTTCCCTAGAGAGCAATGGTTTCAGTCTTTTGAATACCTGTTTAATAATATTATATCTCCATGCCACTTGGTAATTTGTAATCTAATGAAATGTTCATATGATATAAAAGCACTATACATATATACAAAATGCAATTTATGACTTTATGATGTTTATATGCTACAAGCAAACCACAGTTTTAAATAGAGTCCTTTCAGCACTTTCCAATAGTGGGACAACCTTCTCCAAAGGAAGTCCGACTAAACGTCCAACTAAATTCTAAAAGACATTTGTAGTTTTCATCAAATTCAATTACTCTTGGCATATTTTTCCCTCTCTCTGCTGAATGCAGATGGGCGGCAGTCTGGCGTCTGAGTCACAGGAGCATTGTGGCTTCACTAGTCTCCCTCATGACCTCATTATCCTGAGAACTAGTCTTTGGAATCAACAGAGAAACTGCTCTTCACTGACTCAGGCCTCTGTCGAACTGCTGGATAACACGAACGCTCCCAAGTGGTAGCTTTCAATACAACATAACACGGCTGGGACCTCCCTTGGAGGGCTGATGATCACTGTGTTGGGGATGCTAAAACATAATTCTCCTACTGCCGTTGTCAAGTCAGTGCTAAGCCTTCTGCACAGTTGGGCTGCACTGACCTGCTCTGTCCGGTCCTCAGAATGACCCCTTCTGCTCTGCACAGACGCCAGCCTTCTCCCCATAAGAGGGTCAGTATACTGAAGGGACTTTGGATTCTTTCCAAATGGCTGTGCGTAGATTTTAGATAAAAACCATAAACAGCACATCTCCTGCAGCGTCCTTCTGAAATAATAGCATATAAAAATGAGTGCAAAAATGGCAAATAGCTCGTTATCCTTAATATCTTTTCACAAAGGCAGAGATGCATTTTGAATGCTTGTTACCCACATCTTAAAATATTATGATTACATTAGAGGAGACGAGTACAGTCAGCCAGTGTGTTGTGTGTTCTAGGCTTTTTTTCTGAAAGTGCGTTAATATCAAAACTGTAAGAAAGACCGTTTTGATTTTAATGAATGCATCTGCAGTAAGTGCATAAACGCCTTTCAGTGCACTGCCTCTGCAGAGGTGAACGCCAGCTGAGAACAGATTATTCAGCAGCTTCACTCCTGAATCTGAGTCTTTCAAGTAAAGAGCAGTATTTAAAAGGTGGGTGAAGTTTGTAGATTTCAATTAAAAATATGAAGTGTGAAGAAGGAAATTGCTTATTGTACCATTGTGTATTAATGGCATTGGTAATGTGAGTTCTGGTAGTATTCATATGAACTGGAAAACAAACATTGTGTGTCAGTAGCAACCGTGAAGATATCACAGGACGTTTTCTACCTGTAGCACTGAGGAACAGGCAGGGTTACAGAGCACTTGGAGTAAAGCTTGCAGTGCTCACAATATTCTGTAACGAAGCCTGAAACCTTCAGATTTCTGAGCATTTTTTGTTTTGTTGTGCTATTGTTTTATCATTTTTTTCTCATGTCGTATCCTTAACCAAGTGCAACAATCCAACTGTTTTTTTTTTCCTTTGCAGTTTCTTTCTCTTTTTCTTTCTTTCTTTCTCTCTCTCCTGGCTGTGTCGGTCTGTGCCCTTTGACCCTGTGCCCTTGTTCATCCCGTAGGTCATGCCCCTGTCTGGCCGCTGGTCCCTGGGGCACATTTACACCCCCCACAGGCCTCCACACCCTCCTGTTCCTCCTTCACGACTCCATCCTCACAAAGTTCACTTTCAGGTCTCCTCCCTTTTGCTCTCTGCCGCTACTTCTGTGGGTGCTGCACCGCGTGCTGCTTTGTTTCCCTGTTTCCTCTCCTCTGCTCTCCTCTGAAATAGACGCAGGAGATTTAGTGTTTCTGCCAACCCTGGAGCGTTTAAGGAAGAGTGTTTGTAACGTACTGATGGGCCCAGTCTTCTTTTAATTTCTTGAGTAAAATAAATAGTGTCATTGAGTGGTAGATAAAAGATAGTTGAAAATATCTAGAGAAATTATTAACAGGCAATACTGTAGCTTGAATAGATGGTTATTTGTATTTTTGTTTCAGGGCATTAAGGTCCTGTTTTTCTCCATACAGTATAGATGAGGTACATACTGTAGTGTGCATGCTTTCATTTTCATGGTCATATACACCAGTCACTCACACAGTGCTAGGCTAGCACAACAGGATTGAATGATATTAATTTGTTCACATGTGACTCATTTGATAGAGGAACAATTCCACAGTTAACCGTTATCAAAGCGATTTTGGTAACTTTGGTTACCAAACCTGTCATTCTGCTGTGCACCAGGGAAGAAGTTAATAAAATCAGAAAATTGAGTAGGAAAGCCAGCTTTAATAGATCTCTGTGAGCTTTGTTGCCTTTTTTTAAAGGATTATTCCGTAAAAGGCTGCCCCGTATTTGTGGGGTAAAGAAATTTATTTTTCTGAAAAAAAAAATTAAAACACCTTTTCAGGATCCCACGCTTCGAATAAACGAAAAGGTGTTTTGTAGCATTCAGACTATTGATGTTTTTCCTTTAGGGATAACAGTTTTTGGTTTGTGCTAATTCTGGTTATTCTAAGGCATAGTAAGGATAAAAAGTGACTTAGCTACATCAATTTGTGTGTGACGCAGAATGTGCAATAAAGCAAGTAATGTCTCCCGCAACATGTAGAAGACACTACCTGATCAGGGAATCAGGCACATTATGTGGGAAAACCTAAGCACGTCACGGGGCAAATCGGAAATTGGGAACACAGGGTTACATTTCCAAATGAAAGTATAAGAGGAGTATCAGTTCTCAGGATCTCTAGAAGGTGGAGGGAAGAAACAAAACCTGTAGAGTACAAGCCAGCGCCGAGCCCCTGGGAAAACCAGAGGTGTGTGCATTTGTGTGTGTGTGTGTGTGTGTGTGCGTGCGTGCGCGCTTTCCTGTGCTTTGAGATTGCAGAAGGATGACCTCACTGTTTCACTGAGTTCCCCTCTGTCCTTCTCTTTCTCACTCTGTGCCCAGCAGATCGAGCAGCCGTCGATGGAGCAAAAGGGCCACGCTAACGTGCCGTGGATTGTGGAACCCGGGCAAGAAGCAAAGAGAGGAATCAACACTAAGTATGAGACCACTATTTTCTAATATACACCCAATGTCCACTCTCCTCTCTGTGTGTGCCTTTGCACTCTGAGCAGTCTCAGCACAGCGCTTGCCCTGTGGAGACCTGTGGCCCAGTGGACAGGGAGCCTGCGCTGTCTGAGTGACCTTACATCATTTCCTCTCCTCACTGCATGGCGCTGCTGCGTCCTGCCCCGACATTCCTCTCACAGTAGCGCAGCGGTGTCCCAGACGCATGAACACTGTCCTGAGATGTCTCTGAGGCAGTCTTGTCAGGAGGGCCTAACTCAGTGCAGTTTAGACTTGCTCTTACTGGCGACGTTGATGCAACACTTGTATCTGTCCGTTTTATTTTTTCGTTCCTTCTGTTCCGATCTTTTCTGAGCCCTTTTGGGATTTCCGAAGCCCTCCCCGACTGCCTGAATGAGAATAAAACCTAAATGCTGCTAAGAGCTGATATACTTTAAAAAGTGTTTTTATGTCCTTCACTAATGTTCTACTTTGTTTTCGGTTACCTGTGGTGACGATTGGAGAAAATCAAAGGTGTTTCGATCTGTTCTCCCATAATGCTCACTGTAGGGTGATCTGGTTGAAAACGTAATTGCTGTACCCTATGTAGCAAATCCGACTTTCTAAAACTACATGTTACACGTCTTTTACAAAACCTTCATTTAATATTTGTCCCTTAATTTAAAGCTGTGTTGATTTCTTTGTGGTTTACGCAAATTTCTGCAACCAGCACATTGTTTACTTGATAAAGATGTTTATTTTAATCTTTCTTATATAGAAAAGTCATTGTGTCCTCGGAATTTAAAAGGAGGCTGTTCATATGGTATACTATATTGAAACATTAATGAATACAAGAACACTGTGTATGAAAGTAACAAATAAAAAAAGTTCTTTTACAATGAAAAGGTTTTGAAAGAAACTTTTTGTTTTCATTTTGAAACTCTGTAGCTTAAAATATCCAGTGTAGCCAAAAGCTTGGCGCCCATGTTGGATTTGGGGAAGATGGCAGTCTTCAAAGCAGCAAGCACAGCATCCCAGCTGAGGCAGTGAATTTTCGGGGATACACTGGATAACTTAGAGATTTTCATATACAGGACAGTGCCAGACCACCAGTTCTTTAACTGTGGATGCAGAGAATGTAGCCAACCAAAAACTTAATTTCTTGCTCAAAGTATTAAGGACTGCAGAGTAAAATCAGTTTAATGGAAATGTATAATTTAATGCAAGCAAAAAAAATAACATGACTCGTCCTGATAAAGTAATATTGGTGTCTGGGTTAATGAGCCTGTGTTTATACAATATTAATGAGCCTACTAAAAACGGCAGTGAGGCTATGAGCCAGTAACTTTTCCAGTAACGGGACCTCGTGACAAATTTGTATCCACGATTTTCTTCTTAAGGATCGAACGGGACGTTTTTATCTGCGCATGACAGAGACTTGTCTTTCAGCCCTATTTTTTGTCAGGCCAATGGTATGAATATGCATAATGTGAATAGACACCATCCAAGTCTTTACTGAGCCAGGAACAGCTGTGCAAAGCGCACGGTCTAATGTAATCGGCAGTGGTCACCAAATAACTGCAGTGTCATCCATTTAGATATTCATATTGTGAGACATTTTAATGTTTAATATAGGACTATTATTATATTGCAATTCTTATTATTGTGTAATTATGGTCTAACGTTGTCTTAATGTTACATTATTTTTCTATGATATGCTGAAACTAAGCTGGGCTTAAAAATAGCAGCCATCCAAAAGAAATGAATGTCTGGGTGGCAGAATTTAGCTTGGGTTAAAACTGAAATTGAATTGTATAATTTATGGTTGGACTGAGCCGTAATTCAAGGCAGTTGTAATCTTTTAATACAGTATTACAGTACTTGAACAAATGCAGTCCTCATGTAAATATTGTGCCAATTTATTGTTCATACATGTATGTAGTAAAACTTCGCAGTAAATAGCACTGGAAACATGGTACCAAAATTTCAAAGAAAAAAGAAAAATATTGTATGAGGGGAAATTAAATAGTGGCCTCACTGCAACTAATAAATGTAAATATGCTTGGGCTTCCAGTTAAAACAATTTTGTAATTTTAGTCATTATTTATATCCTTGTAAAAGCACATGGAATAAATAAAACTTGTACAACCATGAACACTGCGCTGTTTTTTGGTGTTAGCTCTGGCCTGTTATGTGTTAATGAAATGAGTGGGAACGTGTGCAGCTCCCCCTGTTCCCGCTGGGACTCGATCCCGGTCGCTGGCGGGCTCCGAGCTCACACGCGCGCACGGCGGCGCTCCCGAGGCAGAGAGCCCGGCCCAGAGTCTCCCGCTGCCTGGAGCTCAGAGGGGGCAGACGGCACTCCTGCCACTGGCTCGGCGCACGGGTGCCGTCTCCCAGTGCCGAAACGGTTCGACACCGACCACGTCTTCTGTGAGTGAGTTTCAGGACGTCCTGCGCTGTCTGCTGCCCTGGCTGTGCCCCTGTAGAGTAGCTGCTTTTCCAGAGCACTGTGGTCTAGATCGGCCCGGCCTCCGCAGGGCTGACCCCCACCTCAGCTCCCCATCCCGACACCCAGCTGCTTTCCTTTCAGTAGGACGGCCGGGCTGCTATGGCTGAAACATTACTTGTTTCCCAGCCCCGGCCCACGGTAGAATTCAGTATCTCGGCAGGATTCCAAAGGCACTGAGGCGTGAAGCCTGAGGTGTTTCACCTCCCTCCTTCCTCAGAGAGGCAAGCCCATGGCCTGTTGGTGGCACCTGTGATGTTTCATGTGGGAAATCCCACTCTGCTGCACTGTGCACAGCTCTGCACCACTGTACAGACCCACAAGCCGCAGTAAAAATCCCAGGACGAACATTCCTAGCTGGCACGTAGGTATGACCTCGAGACGTCACAGCCGACGTGGGCACCAGCGGACAGTTGACCTCTTCCTTGGATTTCATGCCTCTTTTGCTTCAACAGTATCAATGACGTATGACTGAGTGACGCCTTTCGTCCGCAGTGCCTTTCCCTACCTGTAACTCCCTCTTCCTCTGCGGGCTCTTCAGGACGGTGTTTTCTCTGTGGCTGACGAGCTCCCAGAAAGAGTGGCAGAGGAACCACAGGCCGCATCTCGTCTCACAGGCATGGCCCCATGACTCAGGATAGCTGGAAGAGCACGCCGGCCAGCTTGAGAGCTCACCTTTTAGAAATTAGAGGCTTTGCTGCTCTGGGGCTTTTCTGGTCTTCCCAGTTCTCTCCCATGCTGGATTATTGGCCCTGAGCAGCAGCCCTTCTTCAGTCCCAGGTAATGTCAACCTGCGCTCTGAAGGTCACAACAGGCTCTCTTGTGGGGAAAACACTGGGGTTGTCACTGATGTGGGGATGGTGTATTGTATGTGTTGAACCAGTCATACCGAATGTGATGTTTATTTGTGTATGTGTATCTGTTGCTGTATGTGATGTTTATGTGTTACTCTCTGTACTGTTGTATGGTTTGCTAAACTAAAGAACACAGATACTGTGAAGCATTATGTGCTATAAAGATAAAGCGGAAACTAATAGGTGGTTTAAAAATACAAAACTATAATGCTCTATTAAAATATAAATATCCCATTAAAAATAAATACCATGAAAACACTACAGAACAGAGACAAATTAAGTTTTCTCAAAGGTACAAATTAATTCTTTACACTACTCCCGATGGCTTTTTAAAAAAGAAATGAAGCTCATTTTGTTGCTATTGTGGAGACAATATTTTCTGAAATTGTATGAGGTACCTTTTAATGGGGTCATTTTATGGAAATACAGATAAATTAATACATATATCAAATTATTTGCCGCTTTGTCTTAGGCCAGGCTACCCATAGCACTGACTGTAAATAGCCACACCGGTTCCATTGCCCAAACTCAGAAAGGAATTTTATGAACAGGATGGTCACTAAAAATGCTGGTCTGTCAGTCTTAATTGTTCGTATTTCATATGTACTTCTTATGTTAAAGCCTGGCATTTTAGCTTCCCAAGGTAATAAACTGTATATCGTATTGCATTAAAACCTTTCCTCCGAGGGGGTGCCAGTAACAGCTGTGTGGAGCAGGTGCTAAAGGTGTAGCCATTTCCTGTGCAAAAGCAACGCAACAATCTGATGGGCTGCCCATCGGCACTCTCAACACCTTCCCTTGCTACAGAGCGAGACCTTGTGTCGCCGTCCTCCATGATCCAGCCTCTGTCCGAAGATCATGGCTTCATGAGGATTTTCATGAGACTGAATGCACAAGAGCTCAAAAGAGGGGAATGCTTCTCCTAAGAACAGGAATCAAACCGAATGAGGGGCTGTCTCCTGTTTCTGGTTTACTTGCCCTTCTGGCGTTCTGGCGTGGGCTGTGAAGGAGGCCCTGCTCACAGTGGGCCCAGAGCTGAGCCAAGCCTTCCTGCAGGACCCCAGCAACAGTGCAGCAAAAAACGTGATCATGGGTGTGAGGAGGACAGTGCGATTTGCCTCTCATGTGAAGATCTGCAACACAGCTTTGGTAACTGTGAAATAAAAGGATTTGTCTCTTCAGCAGATAAGCAGGTTAAATACTCTTTGAAGCTTAGTCCCTGTGCTATACCAGACAAGTTAGGGAAAGTTTCTCTGTCATCCACAAGCTTAATATATCACCAATGTTTAAGTCTGTGTTAGATGTGTCAAAGATGTGTTTTTTCAGCACAGAAGAGCACCTGCTAAAGTGAGATACCTCTGGTAAGAGACAACATGGGCAGGAAATCTCGCTGCTCTGAAACTGCACAGATGAACTAAAATAAGCAGGCACCTGTCTCCTATCTGGAGCGGAGGTCTTGAGCTTTTTTATCTGCACTCTGCTGCTGCTTCCGAGCTGAAGCCGTAGAGTCAGAGTGAAGCTGCATTCAAGCCCGTGGCAGTGTCTTAGAGCTGGAGTCAGTTAGATTCAGGCCCGTGGCAGTGTCTTAGAGCTGGAGTCAGCTGGATTCAAGCCCATGGCATTGCCTTAGAGCTGGAGTCAGTTAGATTCAGGCCCGCAGCAGTGCCTTAGAGCTGGAGTCAGTTAGATTCAGGCCCGTGGCAGTGCCTTAGAGCTGGAGTCAGCTGGATTCAGGCCCGCAGCAGTGCCTTAGAGCTGGAGTCAGCTGGATTCAGGCCCGCGGCAGTTGGAGCTGGATTCAAGCATGCCCAGTGCCCCAGAGCCAGGACTTTGCTCTGTCTGAATTCACCTCATTTATTCCCAGGAATGTACCTGATTTTTTTTCTGGACTGTTTCCAGAGCAGCAATATAATTCTCCTAACATGGTGACCCAACGTGTACACAATGTTAAAATCTTACTGCTGCAATGCAAGATTTGACCCAAACATCCCTAAAATTTCACACTTTAAATTCCATCCATTATCTACCTGCTATATCCAGTACAGGGTCACAGAGAGCTGGAGCCTATCCCCTCAGGCATTGAGCACAAGGCAGGATACACCCTGGACTGGGACACCAGTCCATCGCAGGACAACCATACTAGGGCCAGTCGTCCCAGAAGCTAATTAACCTACCAGTATGGCTATGCACTGCGGGAACCAGAACATCTAGAAGAAACTCATGTGATCACAGAGAGAACATACAAACTCCACACAGACAGCACCCCAGGAAATGAACCCAGGGCCCCAGCTCTGTGAGGCACCACCGCGCCACTGTACTGCCCCTCCAAAGTTTATGTAATGGCTAAAAGTAAGATATCCACAAAAAAATATGCAATCTGATTCTAAAACTTTTATTTAATAATCTTTGCATTCCTATTAATTACAATGCAGGATACCAAATTAGCCAGATGGGCTGCATGGTCTCCTCTGGTTTCCATCCTTTCTTCCTTGTGTTCTTCAAACACCGCACGCTAGCAAAACCAAGCAAACTGAAAACCATAACACAGCCTCTTGGCAGGTGAATATAATCAAGGAAACAAGGTACACAATATAAAAACTGCGCTCACGATGAGCTGAATTTGGAAACTAGTTTGATTTTTTTTTTATCTTAGCATAAAGCACCCTACTGAAGTACTCTATTGAAAATAAACAACAGCATGGGTACTGTAAAAATGTATTTTCTAGTATTTAAATGTTACTATGTAATCAATCAAACTTAGAATATAGTATTTTAAATGGAATGCAGAAAATAGAAACTTTCACCCTTTTATTAAGTAGTTGATTAAAAAGACCCTATTAGTTTAAGCAGTATAAAACTTGCATTTGTCATGTTAATTATCAGATAAAAGTCATATTTTACATCTAACCACTTTTTTACCGTGAAGCAGAGAATAAAACTGTATATTTTACAATCATTCAGATTTAGTTACATATTTCTGACACTATGACTGCCTCTTTAATAGTAATTACAGTGAAGAATTCTTCATACTGTACGAAGTTACTTATTTTACAATTCTAAAAGTTGTTCTGAGCTGCAGATGAAAGATTTTGTAGACAGTGATGCAGGGAACTGGGCGGCAACCAGGGAGTCCGTCTGAAAGGCTTTTCTATCCAGGAGAAGAGCCACCCTCAACAAAGCCATTTTCCAGAACTGATTCAGGAATTGCGGACTCAAGATCACTGTCTGCGACAAACGATGCCAAAACTTTTACAGTATATTTGTGAGCTAAATGTCGGAGGCCATTTTGTGTAAGAGTAGAGAAACAAGGCAGGGGGTTATGGCCAGAGCGATGTCCCTAGGATGAGAGGAAAGAAATACACTCTAAACAGGGGGGTTAAACCCAACCCCACAACAACAGGATTGTATCCATAACCAGATGACCAGAACATGCGAATTCTGAGTGCAATCGAGAATGAGCAGAATGTGATAGCCTTTCATGTCAGAAAGCAGGTCAGGATGAGCACCATCTGGGGGATGGTTTTCAAGTATATACCTATACTTGTATATACCTATGCACATTTTTGCACATATTTTATTGTTTTTACAGTGACTATGAGCAAATTTTGCACACACCTATGTATTTATTTTTATTTATTTATTTTATATTTATTTCGTATTACTGTACGCATTCTAATTTTTCGTCTATTCTGTTTTTTGGCTTGTCTTGGGCTGGACTGCTGTAACACATCAATTTCCCTTCAGGATCAATAAAGTCTTATCTATCTATCTGTAGATAACTGTTATGGAGCT